TACGTTCTTGTTCACGAAGAATTTCCTAGAATATAAAAACAGAAGTCAACTTATTATTTATTTTAATAATTTTTTTGTCTTATTTACATCCAATGTAATAGTCATTGTTTTTTTCGATTGTTCAATAACTGTTGATGGTAGACGATCTTTTATTTGATATTTTTCTTTAATTGATTCATCGTAAAATATCCATGGACTATCTGCTCGATTGCCAAGACGAAATGCATATGAACGAATAAATGTTTTTAATTTTTCACGATTAGGTATGAAATTACTTCGCCTAGAAAAAAAAACAAAATCAATCAAAAAAAAAAAATAATGTTTTTTTTTTTTTCTTTCGTATATATTTATTTACTGTAATTCATTCGGTTGAACATTACTAATTACACGATCTTCATCGGATAATCGAATTGCATATTTGACATTTTTCATTTGCTAAATTTTTATATAATATATAAGAAAATTATATTGATTTGATTTTTTTCTTTTTTTTTTTTTGAAAAAATAAAAATTATATTTACTTTATCTGATAATGGTCTTGTTTGAACAGATGTACGTTCGGATGTTCGTTTACGTTGATCATCATTTTCTTCAATTCGTTCTATAATACCTTTTACACTATTTATAAAAAGAAGAATATATTTATTATAATATAATAATAAAAAATATTTCAAACTTACACTGTAGTATCTTTTCGTTTTTTAAATTGAACTGGTTCACCAATAACAAAACCTTGCCTAAAAAGAAAAGAATGTTGTTATTTTATTTTATTTTTGTTAAATTAATATTTTTAATTCTCAAGATTATTCAAATATTGTAAAGCAAATGTTTGAAAGAATTATTTTTGAATAAGGTTAATTCTTGCTTTGAGATAAGAACCATGTTTTTTTTTAAAAATCTTACAATTTAAGCGAACAAAAATTTAGTATCTCGAAAACATAAAAAGTACTCTTTTATATAATAATAACAAAGCTTAATACAATGCATCTTGAAATGCTCTTTCAAACAAAAACAAAATTAAATATATAGAATGAAGACTCAGAGAGAATTTATTTTCACCATACTTGACTAAATCATTTTTGAATTATTCAATAAAATCTTATCTCAAAATGAAATAAACTTTACCCAAGTATAATCGATACTTCTTCAGCCAATTTTTCCAATGGTTTAACACCTGTTCAAAAAAAAAAATTCAAATAATCTTTTTATTCTTTTCTATAAAAAGAAAAATAAAACAAAAAAATTACTTACTATGATATATAACATCAAAAATTGTTTTATGAAAATAATTTGGAACAATAGTTGGTAATGATTTTCTTATTTCAATTTCTGATTCATAAGCTTCTTTATGTGTTAAACCAGCTCTCCATGTACATTCACATGTCCATCGTTCTAATGCATATATTGTTTTTAATTTTTCATATAGTTTATTACTATGAAATTTTTCTCCTGTATGTTCAATAGTATAAATTTGTTCTTGTTCATTATTATCTTTTAAATCATCTTCATTAAGATGAAATAATCGTCGACCGAAAAGAGGCATTCAGTAACCGAAAAAAGATAAAAAGAAATACATGAAAAATAATTTATATTCAAAATCTGAAAGATAAAATAAATATGAAATAGTTGATTGTTATTACATTTATTAGAATCGTTCAATGTTTCTTTTTTCTCTTTATGTATCAATAATGTTCATGATACAAAAAAAAATCGCTAGAACTAGATAAAGAACAAAAAAAAACCGGATGATATATACGCACTTAGACAAAAATAATATTAATGATAACGGATTTTGGAATAGAAAGAATAGACACAAGCAAAGCAAATAACTTTTCTTCCCGAATGGTAAAATTCTATTCTACACACATAAGCATCAAAGAAGTTTGTTTCGTCAATAAATAATAAAACTAAATTTAAGAATTCATTATAGATATACACACACACACACACATATAAATAAAAATATATACGACGCGCGACAAGAAAATGGGTTACTGTAAATAATACTTAACGAAAGACTTTTTAATTAATCTTTCTATATATATTTTTTTTGTTTTTTTTCCATTCCGATTAAAGAAGCAAGAAAAAAAAGAAACTGGTATTTTGTGATACTAAAAAAGAAAATTATTTGGATAAATAAACGTTTGTTTTTACACACAGAAAAAAAAAAAGAAGTGCCCCATAACAACATTTACAATGCAACGTGTTCTTTACTATACACATACAAGCGCACACCGGGCTCTTTTTAAGAGTTAAAAAAAAAAAGGATCAATTTGTCTATGTGTTTGACAAAATAAAAGAGGAAAAATAAGAAGAAGCTAAAGCTACCAATTATTAGAATATGTTGTATTTGTTTTTTTTTTTCGTTTAAAACAATTTTATAAGTGTTTATTGATAAATGTACTCTTATTTTTTATTTTCACCAAAACTGCTTTGCGGAACTGATGATTTATCTTCATTACCAGAATTTAACCGAGATTTATCTTCTGTTGATAATGCATTATTACGTTCTTTATCCATTGCAAGAATAAAATCACTAATATTATCGCGAAAACGAGGCCATGATTTTTCTGGTACTGTTATGGCTGCTCGAAAATTTGCGCGAACCTAAATTATTTAAATAAAAAGAAAAACAAAAATAGTAACATGTAAGTTAAAAAAAGAAAAAAATAATTGTTTTTTTTTTTTTGTTTTTATTATCTTATTTACTTCGGAGATACGTAAGAAAACGCCACGACTATTTGAACCAATATCAAAATAGAAATTTTTATTTCCAACACGAAGAAATTTACTTTCCGGTAACTTAGATGCTTCTAAAAATAAATAATATACAAAAAAAAGAAAAGTTTATTTTATGTTTCATAGAGGACAAATAAAAGAGATTATGATACTGTTTCTTTTTTAATAAATGATTAAAACTAATAGAACTAAATTAATTTAACTAGATTAAAATATCTTTCCATACAATATCTTCATATTTTTGTTTTTTCGTTTGAAAAAATAAACCTTTTAATATAAATTGTTTCTCAAAAAATAAAATTTATTTGCCTCTATGTTTTGTACATAATTATATAATGCATAATAAGATTATTTTAAATTATTATTTATTTTACTTACCTATTGCCGGTAGTGACTCAATACTATCTAAAATAAATGAAAATTGGGTTAAAAAAATAAACAAAAAAAAAAAAGATAAAATACTATTAGCCCCATCTTTATCTATGAAATACATTGTTATTAGAAACTATTTCATGAAATCACTTTTTTGTTTTTTTAAATGTTTGTTTTAATACATAAGATATATCTATTATCTAACCATAGATGAATATATTGAATAACGAAAAGAAAAATAATATCAATTAAACTGGAATTTTCATTTGATTATTTAATCATATTCAAAAATTTTTTTCTCATAAACAACTTTCTTTCTCAAAAATAAGAAGAGCAAAAAAACAAAAACTTCTCGTTATAGATGTCACTCATTCATTATTTTCTACCTTTATCATCTTCATTTCCGAATTCTTCAAGTAAATTATTTAATGTATCTCGTAATTCTTCTACACCTTGTGCAGGTAATGCAATTTGTGTACGAGGAGTATTAATTCCAACCATAGAAATCTATATTTGAAATAAAAAAATAAAAAAGAAAAGAATGAATAACGCTACAACGAAAATTTCACATACACGTAAAAATCTTCCACGATCATTTTCTTTTAAATCAAGATAATATTTTCGATCATCACGTGTTATAAGTGCTGAACGAAGGCGACCATCCTCTGTTAATTGTTGATTATTTGGATTATGTTCACCTAAAATGTCAAATGATTTAATAAAATCCTGAAAAAAAAATTTTTTTTTTATTTACCTAATGTACGAATATGTTCATTAAATGTATCTAAATGATCACGTAATTCACTTGCAACATTCATTGACATTAATATACGACTTTTTCGACCTCCAGCACTAACCTAAAATAAATTTAAAAAAAAAATTTCATAATTTTTGGTTTTTTTTCTTTTTTACTTCAGCAATTTTTATAAAACGACCACGTCGATTTTGTTTAACATCCAAATAAAAACGTTTCGACTGAATATGAAGCGTTTTAGTTGCTAATTCTTCCTCACCGGCTGACGCGCCTAAAAGATAAAAACATTCTTTTCAATAAAACAAAAAATAACACAAAAAAAAAAAAAAAACATTATTTTCTTAAAGAATAAAAAGAAAAAACAACTTTGTTGTGATTGTTGCATTCGATCAGGATATGTATTGCGCGATTGAATATTATATCCACCTTCGGCCATTGAGAGTGTCGAATAAATTGATTAGTAGTAGAAATAACGTGTACCGTTTGGAGTTTTTCAAAAAACCAAAACCTCACTCTCACTCACACTGCCAAATATTGGCGTCTTCTCGCCGATAGATGATACTTAATTCTCGGCGATCTGAAAATATAGAAAATAAATAATTGTTTATATTCCTTTTATTTTCTCATGTGGTAGATTAAGGAGCACTTGCAACACCTACACATCCACTAACTAAACAAGTAACCATTTCTCTCACCGCTGAAATAATACTCATTTTCTCGTTCTTTTTTTTTTTCTCTTGTTTAGTTCGTTCTTTCCCAGCTGAAAAAAGAAGAATCATTTATATATTAATCAATGTGATTGGTTCGTAGAGGTTATTTAGATATGTATTATGGTTCTTGTTTGTTGTTGTTGTTTTTTAAATGAACTAAATAAATATAAATTTATTTTACAATATGATATATTTTCATTGATAATTTGAATATTTTTTTTTTGCTTTGTTTAATATCATAAGCGACATCTTTATCATTTCCTTTTTTTTTTCTTTTTATTGTTTTGTTTTAGTTAATGTTGTCAAGTGTATGTTGTTGTTATTATTGTCGTTTCTTTTTTATCTAGTATTATCTTTTTTCTTTTGTTTTTAATAGATTTTTGTGTATAGAAGTTTATATTATTCATTCGAACGATTGAATTCAAATGGCTGATCAATTAACTGAAGAACAAATTGCCGAGTTTAAAGAAGCATTTTCACTTTTTGATAAAGATGGAGATGGAACAATTACAACTAAAGAATTGGGTTTGTTTAATGAAAAAAGGAAATAAATTTCTTTATTTTTTTCTTTTTTTTACAGGTACGGTTATGCGTAGTTTAGGACAAAATCCAACGGAGGCTGAATTACAAGATATGATTAATGAAGTAGATGCTGATGGTAACATAATCGAATTTTTTTATTTAAAAAAAAAAAGAAAGTTTAATAAAAATAATTTCTTTAGGTAATGGTACAATTGATTTTCCTGAATTTTTAACAATGATGGCTCGTAAAATGAAAGATACTGATAGTGAAGAAGAAATTCGTGAAGCATTCCGTGTATTTGACAAAGATGGAAATGGATTTATATCAGCAGCTGAACTTCGGTTAGTTAATTAAATATTATTTTTAGATTTGTTGAAATATTTTCTTTTTTTTTAAAGTCATGTGATGACAAATTTAGGTGAAAAATTGACGGACGAAGAAGTTGATGAGATGATTCGTGAAGCAGATATTGATGGAGGTATAATTATTATTGAATGAAAATAAATAATTTTCTTTATATCATTTAATTGCAGATGGTCAAGTTAATTATGAAGAATTCGTTACAATGATGACTTCGAAATAAATGTAATCAAGGATGTATCATTGATCATTATATATTACATAAAATTCTTTTTTGTTTTTATGTTTGTCATCGTTGTTGTGTGCATGTATGCTATTTTTGTTTGTTTATTTTACTCTGCTCTCACTTTCTCTCTTTTTTTTTTTTTGTTTTAAAACTATTTACTATTCAATACAAAAATACACTTGTCTTCTTTCTTTTTTTTTTTTTTTTTTGGGTCACAAACATACACACACATGCATACACATATATATACACAAGCATATTATAGTTGGGACTAATATGTTTATTTCTTTCTTTTTCGATTTTTTTTTTCATCATTTATATATTCAGGTTTTCAGTGGAAGAGCAATCTATGAAGAGGATTTACATAAACGTATATTTATATAAACACCTACTGTTTTCTTTCTTTCGTTTTTTCTTTCTTTTATATATATATATATATATATATATGTTGTTGCTATATATTTGTTGGGTACGAATGAAAACACATATATACATAGAAATGTCAAAGTAAATTATTCACGAACAATCTTTTATATGTATAGATGTGTTTGCAAAAAAAAGGAGAGCGATGAGGCAAACATTGTTCTTGTATTTTTGATGTTGACTTTTTTTCCTTAATAACAGTGTGTATGTGCATGTGTGTGCTTTTTTTTGCTGGTTCCGCACAGTTTCACTTGTTCCCTCTTGATATCCGTCTTTTTTTTCTTTTTCGTTCTTTTTTTCGTATAAACAACAACAAAAAAAAAAAATAAATATGAAATTTATTCAATAAGTGAACTTGTTCATTGTATGTTACATATAAATGTTCTCTATAATTGATTTAGATATTTATCAAAGTAGAACATTGCTTCTCAACTATAAGAACAATAACAAGCAATCCACTTGAACATGATGAATAATGAAAAGGAGAAAAAAAGACAGGCAGTTATATTACAACAACAAAAAAAAGAAGAAGAAGCAGAAGAAGAAACTGCTCATCAATTAAGAATTCCCGCGCGTCTTTCTCAGCTTTGACAAAACTTGAGTTACTCAGTCAATGCGTACAACGTGAAGAGTATATGTAGAGAATAGATAAGAATGGATCACTTGAAATATTTCCTTTTTTGTTTTTTTTTTGCTGTTGATGATGAAGACGAAGACTAAGGCTCTAACATTGTCGGTTATTATTCATTCGCTATGCAAGAAAAAGAAGGAGAAAATATGAATGAGCAAAGAGAAGGAGTCTCGAGCAAAGAAAAAAAAGAGAAATGAAGGACGAGAGAAAAAAATGCAAAGCCCCAATTCGCACGATACGTCTCATTTCACTGTCGTCATCACCGGTCGATCTGCTAGCAAGCTAGTCACTCCTGTGAACTGACGCTATGGCAAGTAGTGAAGCACTAACTAATATATATATATATAGATTTTTTTTCTTTATTACATGAAAATTACATTCGTACTTATCATTATGATTTATTATTATTATTAGGAAAAGACAGATAATTCTGTTTCAAATGAGACAAATGGTAAATATATATTATATTTCTTCGGATAAAACATAATAACATTTATTTTACTTTGTCATAAAATTATTAAGATGCTCCATTAAGATCAATTATTGAAACGCCATTAACTTATTCACTTATAAATGGAATTTTTCAACAACAAAATAATGTAAATTATAATTGCAATAATAGCAATTCATATTTATAATTTACTAGTATTTCTTTTTTCTTCTTTGCCCATATAGGATGGATCTTTTCCACCAACAACTCAAGTAGGAGAATTATTTAATGTAAATTTTGAACAAATTAAACATGATTTAAATTCGAAAGGTTTAGATTCATCAAGTATGTGTATATTTAGATTAGTTTGTTTTTTCATTTAATTAATTTTGTTTTGTTGTTGTTGTTTTTCAATATTTAGTTTCGGATGAAATTTATCGACTTATATCAACAGCATCAATTCTTTTCTATTTTTTATATCATAGTCAAAAAACAAATTTTCCTGTTGATCTTGATACTATTAAACAATTTGTATCTAAAGCACGATCAGAATTAGAAGATGTAAGTAGAATATTTTATATTTGTTCATTGTTATTTTTTTGTTTTGTATTTAATAATTCCAATTTTGTTTTTTTTTTCGATTAGCTTTCATCGAAAGAAGATCCAATCATGCAAACATATATTGATAATGGTGAATTAGCTGTCAAATATGTTATTGAAACGCGTGAAAAATATGCACATATTTGTAAACAAATAAATCTACCAGAAACAACTTGGGAAACTTATATTCAACGTTTGATGGGTTTAGATAAACCTCAACAATAGACGATATTAAACTATTATACACTTTTTCTTGGTGTGCGTTCGCTTGCATTTTTTTTTTGTTTTTGAGAAAACTGTTTAAAGTAAGAATATCAACTATTTTCAACGCAAATCATCAAAAAATAAAATAAATAAATGTTACTAATCAATATATTATTATAATAAAGAAAAAACAAATATTAATAAGACTAAATGGTATAATTAGGATAAATAGATTTTATGTCTGACATTAGGCAGAAGACTCTATATCTTAAAATGATTATTCTAATAGGAGTTTTGTTAAATTAAAAATATATAACATTTAATTAATTTTGTTATAAAAGCTTTCGATTATGTAAGATAATTGATCAAGGTTTTCTTTGAGTCTAATAATTTGATTTTAGCTTTTATGTTTATTGAGATTTAATTATAAATAATTGAGATTATAACATTTTGATAAATATGAATTAGATTTATAATTTATTAAAGATTATTTGTTTTTATTTTGTTTATTTAAGTATTGTGAAAAAAAAGTAAGATTCTCTATAGAATTTTTTCATCATCTATCAACCTTTTTGTAAACATGATTATGTGAAATGCTTACAACAATAGTATTTTGAAAATTTGAAATTAACTTTTCTTAATATTCCATCAAGAATTTAATATCTATGGTTTTAATTTTCGGTTTATTATGTTGTTATACGAATATCAACTTCTATATATTAAATTAAGAACTCCTATATTTAGTAGCGAGAAGTATAATTGATGTAAATAATATTTCAAAACATAGAAGAATGAAATGAATAATTAAAGATTTTTATATGTCATTTTGAATAAATTAATAATATAAGAAAATTGTTTATTAATAAAAATGTTAGAAATAGGAATGAATATTTTTTATTAAAAGAAAAAAAAAAGCACAGAAATACTCTTCGTTTATTTATCGAAAGAAAGGGAATTCTTGATTATTTTTAGTTATATAATTCTTTTCTCTTGAGACAACTAATATTTATTTTCAAGTATATCACGATTGAATAATATTTTCTCTAAAAACAATTCGATAGGTGTTATTGATAAATTGCAAGACCTTCATATCGAAAATGATTTGTATTTATACAAAAAATATTGTACAAAAATAAAATATTTTTTATTAGAAATAGTAAAATCAATTGATTTTTGAAAATATATTAACATGAAATATCATCATTGGAATACTACTACTACTCATTATTTCTATATTCTTTTCTATGATAGATATAGATTTTTTGTAATAATAAACATCAAATAACATGATTGCGTTTTATACAATAATAACATTTTTGTATATTAACTTATAAAGTTATTAATAAATTTTTCTGATAATTAAACAATCTTTTCGTGTAGCTGAAAACAAGTTTATGTATCCTTAATTGTCATAATTAAAAATAAGATAGTTTTGTCTCTAATTCGTAATATATTTGATGTAGACAAATTAAATTTCTATGCATTATCATTTTGATCATTTCCTCGGCAAGTATTTGAATATATATATATATATATTTTTTTTTTCTTTTTCTTGTTCTTAATAAATTTAATGTATATCGACCTTCTATCGTCCTTTTTCTATTACATTTGCTTTTCTTCATTCTCTAATAAACTCATGTCACGTCTGTCGCTCTATTCTACATAAGACAGACTGTCAAGTGGGCTTCTCATTTTAGAAAAATCACTGATTTCATTTACATTAGTTTCTTGTTTTTTATATATGAAATATCTATAATAGAAATATATCGAACAAGAGAAATACTATTTCTAAAAAGACAATAACGAAAGATTGTCATCTTTTTACAAATTCATTATTTGTGAAAATAAATAAAAAATAGTAATAATATTTATTTATTCATTCATTTATTCCAGTGATATAGATTAAACTAGACCATGCGGAAGAGAGAAGAAGATTGTTCTTAGAATATTACAAGAGTTTGAATTGTATTGCCTTGCCGAAAGCTTTTGTAATCTACAATTAGTTATTATCGTAGGCAGATTGAAGCAAAAAAAAACTATGTAATGAAACTATCAATAAAATTCTTTTAATTAGTTCTATGACATCAATTGCTTGAAGTCTCTAACATTCTAACAAAGAAGAAAGTCTACCAGCTGGTCAATCACATTCGAGTCAAGACTACATGCATCATGTCAATCTTAATGAGCTATGAATACCAGAGATGCAGTAATTCGTAGAATATAATGTCAAAAATGACATTTTTTTCTTTATTAAGAAATGTAGTTCCTGCGGATTGTTTGTATCAATTATGATCAGGTTGTTTTACTCTATCCGAAACTATAGTCAAAATTCCTGAAATACAAAAAAAAAAACGTTTCAGAGTTGAGCGAAAATTCTCATTTTTTTGGTTTTTTTTGCGGCCAATTCCAACTGATTTTGAGACCTATGTTGTACATTAGACAAAACTTAAGAATAGCTACGGAAAGAGTGTTTAAAATTGGAATGAAGAGAACTGCTAGAAGTTCGATACTTCTCAATATTAAAAATAGTCTAAGCTCTTATTAGAAACTCTAGAAATTGTTTAACCCCTGTTTACAAAAAATACATGCCTACTATTGAGAATCACAGGACTCCTAGTGGTTCTTCATGTCAGTTTTGAACAGCTCTTTTCGGAGCTATTTTTAGGTTATGTCTAATGTAAAACATAGGCTTCAAAATCAGTTGGAATAGGTTAAAAAAAACTTAAATATACAAATATTCGACCAATTCCGAAACCTTTATTTTGGATTTCAGGAATATCAATTACAGATTCGGATAGAGTAGAAAGAACAGATCATGGTTAATATAAATAACCCACAGGAACTATATTCTGAATAAGGAAAAAAAATATTATATCTTAGGAATTGGTGCATCCCTAATGAATACCCTGAAACAAGTTCAAATTCGTAGGTTATACTTACTAGAATGCTACATTTTTACAGTAATTTTTTAAAATAATGCCGTGATCTGCCTGAGAAACACTAGGAAAAATGATTTTTGAATTTCGATTTAAAACTTTAAACAGAAAATCAGCAATATATAAAACGGACCATAAATAGCACTATGATTAAAAAAAATAAATGAAATATCTTCTATGCCTCGTCGAATCAAATGGATTAAATATTTCAGTTAGCGGTAGAAGTTTATTCAAAGTGGGTGTTTTCTTATAGACAAGGTAAGTAAATATTACTATCAAGTATCTTTGCTGATATCATGAAAGCAATTTTACCTATTATTAGGTAAGAAAAATACAGGTGTCGTGTTTCATAGATAATTTTCAATTGTTATCTAAGAGAATAAGAAGAAAAAAATCAAAATAAACTTTACGAATGATATTATAATGATGCATATAGAAGAAATTTTTAGAACTAGTTAGTTTAAAAGTCAACGATTAAAATATGTTGAATTTTCAAACATGAAACACTGGTTTTTGCAAGAAAGTTGGTGTCCAATAGACTGCAATAGCGTACTTTACTTATGAGGTACGAATTTCGGCATTTAAACTGACTATTAATTTTGAAAACTTTCTCTATGTGCATTAATATAGATCGTTTTGATACCTTATATTATTCTCTTTGATGACAACTGAAAATTATCTATGGAACGGCTCATATGTATTTTTATTACTTGAAAATAGGTAAAGTAAAAATATAACTTGATAGTAGTATTTATTTCTATCATCCGTATGAAAAAAAAACTTTAAATAAGTTTCTATCGTCAACCAAAAAATCAACCCATTCGAGTGAACCGAAGTGAACATATTTTAATTTTTTAACGTAGTGCTATTTATGGTCCACCTTGTATATAAGCGACGTAAACTTAGGATAGGAATAACAAAAAGATCTAAAACTTTCAAAAAAAACCAGATTCTATACAAAATTTCGAATTGAAATTCGAAAAATCATTTTTCCTATTGTTGTTCAGAGGGGACATGGTATTATTTTAAGAGAATATCATAAAAATACAGTATTCCCGCAGCAATAAACAACGAGTGTGAATTCTTTTTTTCAGATATTCATAATTCATTAGGGTCTTCATGATGCATGAAGTCTCGAATCAAAAATGATTAATCAATTGAAGAACAATCCTAGTAAGATTAATAGTTCGACTATTTTTGTTAACTCTGACTTTCTTTAAAATTCAAATATTCGTATTCATTTGCAGCATGGAAAGATTTGTGGCAGCCTCAATTGTGGACAATCTACTCCTATTTAACAGCTTTGAAGTTGGAATATACACTTGTTTATCTCCAAATACAATTGAAAACAAACATTACTTTTTATTACTTGAAATTCATTCTAATGGATACATAGCATGTGCTTACAAGATTAGCGCTGGCTTTATAATCATTCTACTTGTAATAATCATTATGATTACTCTATTGATTTATTTATTTCACAATATCCGAATTCATCGGTAAGTAAGATTATGTAGTCTTTATTGGATAAAAGTCGCCGACAACCTAACCTTTTATATATCATTCACTAGATTATTCGATCTTTTTTAAAAAAAATTTATTATCTCTTTTTCAAAGTAAGAATTTTATCATAATTATACACTGATTTATTGTACGCTATGAGTTAAAGTTTACTATTGAATCATTGTATACAACCACAAAGATTTTATCTGGTAGAGATACATAATTTTATGAGCTTAGTTCATGAGAATATCAAATTTTTTTCTGTGTGGGAAAATAATCAACATCTAGTGCATTAGGGTTCATTCATTGATACATATATATATATATATGTCATGATTTACTTATGTTTGGGTACGATTGTGAGAGTGTGTGTGTGGATATGGATCTGTGTCGGGATCTCAGCGTGACTGAAAAGAAGAATTACATGCAGACACCCACTATGACCTACATTCGCCTTCACACTCATCGATCACCACACAAGCCCCAACATTTTTGATTGTCCTGTAGATGTGTACACTGCCTGCAGTGTTTTTGATGATCTCTGAAGCATGCCGTTGTTCTTCTAAAGCGATTGTCAAACTT